ACCCACAGATATTCCCCTCCCCCCCCCCCCCCCCCAGCCACATTTGTCTGCCCGACAGCCATAGCCATGCACTAAGCTATGGTCATCCCAGGGCTAGATGGCACGCGGGCTTTTCAGAGTCTTTCCAGGAAATTAATGCAGATTTCAATGCGTGGAGGGGAAGAGAGTGAGGCGGGATCCGTGCTTTGAAGAGGGGCGGAAATGTGGGGGCTCTTGCACTTTGAGTCACTTTGATTCTTTCTCCAGGCCTCAGCTCCCTTGTCGGGAAGGTCAGGATATGACAGTACTGCCTGTGCACGGGCTGACCCTGGCAGGGCAGAGCAGTGAGTGGATCCCTCGGCACCACCGTGGACAGTGCTCTGTGCTGGTTGCTACAGAGCAGCTGCAGGCACAGCCAGGCAGGGAGACGCCTAGTTCTGCTCTCGCCTGAGGCCTTCCTCTCCGACACTGTGCTCTCTCTCTCTCCTCAGTGGCCCTAAGACCAGAGAGGGGAGAAACCAACGTGGGTCACCCAAAAAAGCATGCGGGCAGGAGATTAGGCCAAGCCACAGTGGGAGCTCTGCTCCAGCCCAGCCGTCAACCACAGGCCTCCCTGCCTCTTTCCTTCTCCAAGAGCCACATCCGTATGCGTGTGTGCGCTGACCACACAGGTGACCCCAGACACAGCTCCCTGCCCTGTGCCTGACCCATTGCTGGCCCTGGCCCTAAGAACCTCACAACAGTGTCACCGAAGGCCCGCCCTTTTCGTAAGAAGATGCGACCAGCTAAGGACCCCCTTCCCAAACACTTAGAGCCTTGGACCCCAGTCACCAGGCCAGCACCTCCCTTGTCCTCCCCACCAGTCAGATAGGCCCATAGAGGCAGAGGTTTCAGATCAGATTCTTTAGGGTCTCTGTGCTCAGAGAGACTCAGAACTGGGAGAAAAGAGAGACACAAACCTAGAGGTGGACGGACAGAAGAGCCACAGTGTCCTGCCCCGTGCACAACCTGTGGCCCCCTCAGCACTAGTAGTCCCTCCTGTCCTACTCCTTCCTCCTTCCCCTGCCACCTGTACCCCTGTAAGTGCCAGCTACCCCAAACCTCAAAGAGAAAGTACCGGTGCACGTGACCCATGGAGGAGGTGCGGAGGGGGAGAACGGGAAGGGGCCTAATAGAGTGGGGGGTGGGTGAGAGGAGCTGAATAACAACTCCCAAACTCACCTTCCAAGCCTGCCCCTATGGGCCATAGCCCGGGGCAGCAGGTGGTGAGAACCCGGATTGGGGAGGGAGAGCTGAGTAATCACAGGATTACTCAAACTGTGGCTCGGGAGCCCGGCCTGCCAGGAACTTACCATCTAAGGGCCTGACGGTGCCAGGAACTAGAGCCAGGCAAAGGTCAGAGACCTCTCGGCCATCCCCTGCATCACTCGGCTCCCACGGCAGCCCCAACTCCGCCCTACCCTCGCCTGCTTTCTTGGGAAACTCTGTCTGCCATCCGCAGCCGGCTCACTGCAGTTCTCCCCTGGGCTGTCTCCCACCAACTCCACAGGCTTCCGAGGTCCAGAGCCGGCCTAGCCCCTACCAACATCTGGTGACAGTAGGACGTTATCATTTGCATCTCAAACGAGACCACCTGGGGAACTTGTTAAACTGTAGGTCCCTATTCTGGAGATGGGGGTATGTGAGCATCTGCATTTTAATAAGGTCCTATTCAGTCTAAACCTTAAGTAGCAGGAATTAGTCCTTCTTGATACCAGGCTGCTCCTCCCAGGCTGTGGAGTAGGGTGGGTGACCTCTTCCCCCAGCTCATTTTTGTATCTACCCTACCCTTGTGACTTAGAACTTCCTTCTGACACAGTATTCGGGTTGCTTCGGAACGGAAGGATGCCCGGGAGCATCCCACTAGACCTCCTATGAGGAGAAATACGGTAGAGGCAGAGTCTCCTGCCCGCCCTCCAGCTCCTCTTACCGCACTCTGGTTGCAGCTGCGAGATTCATTGATAGCGCCCTTTGAGTGCATCCAGAACCTGGCCCTGTGCCACCTTAGGAAGCCACCCTAGGCCCTGTCCAGGTGCCCAATGCCACAGACAGGAAGTGGTAGGGGCAGAGGAGGGGCTGCAACTAGGGGATCTCTCCCCTCAAACTCTGGAACCACCCCCCAGTCCAGGTGGAAGAGAATTCAGGCAGAAGAGCCCTGGGGTCTCCCCCATCTCCTCCTGGTGCCCTCTTTGCCTCATGGAGGTTGATTAAGGAGGAGCAGTCACAGACATCAGTGCCGGCTTTGTATACATTTTCGTCGAATGATGACGACAACCCTGCGAAGTATTGCCACTGGTATTGTTCCCGTTTTATGGACGGGAAAACTGAGGCTTAGGGAGAAGAGGCTTGGCTAACGTTACATAGCCCTAAGTAGCCGATCTGGCGCTCAAACCCAGGTCTCTGAAACTCTGGAGCCAGCGTCCTCTGCCACTAGGTTATATACCCTAGGCAGACAGGCTGCCCAAGTGCACCAAGCAGACAGAGATAGGGGACAGTGTTACTGGCTGCGGGGTGGTGGGGGTGTGTGAAGTGAGGGCAGTGGGCTAGGAGTGGAATTCAGGGAGGGAATGCCCCAAGCAGAAGTCAGGACTTACATCTGGAATAAAAATCCAGAGAAATAGCATTTCCTCTGTCCCAGCACTTCCTCCATGGCCCCAGCCTCCCCCTCTCCTTGTCTATTTTTCGAAGGCCAGGGTGGGACTTGGCCATCCCAGCAGAGCTGGCTGGAATCCCCTGGAGGACCACAGCTCCCTTAGGGTGTGGGCTGGGTTCTGCACGTTTCCACAGGCCTCTC